AGCTGTGAGCGAGTAATTTGGCTACTGCATCAGTTAGTTTGCCTCTGGAGCCCTCCTTCCTGAGTGAAGAGAAAAATATGTGAGCCAGAGGCTTAAAAGCTGTGAGCTAGCTCACACTAACTCAGCTTAGAGGGAACACTCCTGGTAACTGGAATGAGAATAGCCACATATTTTGTACTTCATCTATTACCAAACCTTTTTACCTGACATGGGTGGTTTGCTTGTTTCCCCCCACATGTGCCATCAGATAGGCTCGCCAGCTCTGAGTTGGCAATACCTTGGAGATTTTGGGGGTGGAGCCTGAGTGGTGGGTTTAGATTCAGAGGAATTAGCTGGCTTAGTCTGTTGCTGCAAAATAGTCCAAGAGTTCAAATAGCACCTTTAACAAATAGCACATTTAAGACTAACCTTTAAGACTAAGACTAACTGAGTGGTGGGTGTGGCCTTCCGGTGATGTCAGGGGGTGTGGCATATGCTAATGAGTTATGCTAATGAGTTTCCCTAGCTCTTTTTCTACGAAACGACCTCTGGCTAGAACTCTATGTCAGGGACAGTGATGCTCTGTATTTTTGGTTCTTTGGGTGCCACAGTGGGAGGGCTTCTGGAGTTCTGGCCCCGCTGGTGGACCTCCTGATGGCACCTGGGTTTTGGGCCCTGTGTGACATAGAGTGTTGGATGGGATCATGGGGCATTGGCCTGATCTAACATGGCTCCTCTTATGTTCTTATGTACCTCACTTTACAAATCCCTGTCTAGCCCAGCCCTTCCTATGGTGACAATCTTTTCCCAAAGCTCTTACGCTATTCTCTCCTTTCTCTCCCCGCTCAGGGTCAAACTACATCTTCTGGAGTTGACAAGGTTGCCACAGGGACTTGCAGCCAAACGCTGGCTCCAAGTGCCCCATGGGAACTCTATTTTGAAACTGCACAAGGGCCCGATTCTGGTCAGAACTTCGCCTCTGGGGGACAAGGGACTCTGGGAAACTTGGAGCCAGCATTTGATCCCGTGGCAAACTCACCAATAACATAATGTGTTCTGATTGGATGAGAGGATATGACCTTCAACTTCAGTCACATCCTCTCATCCAATCACAACATTTCACTCCTGGCTCCCCCTCCCCCACTCATTCTGTCACTCCACTTCTGACACCATCTTTCTTCCCAGCCAACCTCCTCACCTTTTAAACTGCCTGTCAGGAACTACTGACCCAACCCACAACATTTTAGGGCACTGTTCACAGATCTTACGCACATTATATCACAAGGAGGAAGATACAGTCAATCACACAACCTCAGCTCATCCCCTGCCACATATTTTGTTAGTCTTTAAGGTGCAACTGGACTCTTGCTCTTTTCTACGACCTCAGTTTGCTGATTCTAAAGCCTGGTATTCCCGTGCTTTCCCAAGACAGCTTAATTTCTGGCTGAGGCTCTCTGCCAAACGCTATCCAGAGAAGAAAATGCACACAATCCAGATATCTGTTACAGCTGGGTGACAGACGAAAAGAAAACTGAGCTATACAACCAAGTGAATCATACGATGCGATCTTATTGGACTGTGTCACTCACCCAGATGGGGGACAGCAGGACTGAACGTTTCTTCACAGGAAACTTCCATGTACATAGAAAGTTAGCACTTCAGGGGATGTTTGGCCAGCATAAAACTTCTCCAGCAAATGGCAGACAACCAAAAGCACAAGCAGAGAAACAGATCTCACACGAATTGGTTTTTTTTAGAAGGTCTTGTTCTAGCACCAAATGAGGACAATGCCAGACACACAAGAAAGACGGCATTCCAAGGCCTGGGGTTGTTGCTTTTGGCCGTCAAGTCACAGCTGACTTATGGCGACCCCTTAGGGTTTTCAAGGCAGGAGACGTTCAGAGGCGGTTCGCCACTGCCTACCTCCACGTCACGACCTTGGTATTCCTTGGAGGTCTCCCATCCAAATCCTAGCCAGGGCCGACCCTGCTTAGCTTCTGAGATCGGACAAGATCGAGTTAGCCTGGGCTATCCACGTACTCTATCTAGCCGGGGGCAAAAAAGACCCTGTCGTTCTTAGCCACCTGCCCCACCACAGGAAGCAGGGGTACACCGGGAAGAGCCTGAGGTTAAGAATGTGGTGTCCGGGCAGGACTCGATGGGAACAGGGGGCACTTCCAATGCCCAGATCCCAGGCTATGGACAGGTAAGGAATATCTGTCATGTTTCCGAAAATTCAGAACAGCACTGTGCCGAAGGAAGAGCTGGTTCCCCCCCCCCTTTAAAAAGTGGCAAGTGCTAAGTACAGTTCGTAGGTGAGGCTGCCTAAGCAGAAACAAGACAGACATTTGAAAATCGGCTAGCGGATGTCCTGCAAGCCACTCATTCATTATGCTGGACGACAGCCCAGAGGGCCTTTCTGCTCCTATTTACTATCAGTAAATAGATTCCAAGGATGGTATTTTTAGCTAGGGGATTTTCCACCCAACCAAAAGGCAGCTCCAGGTTGGGCCAACCCAGGATCTATGCTGCACTGTAAGTATCTTGCAAAATCTCACACCGGTTGATTTGTCACACACGGGGAAGCTCAGCTAAGGTCTTGAGTCTGGTTTCGGAGAAAGGTGGGCTAAAAAGCATCCTTAGGAAACCGCGCCCTGCATAATCGTATGCTGCTTGAAATAGACCCAGACAGAAATCAAACTACGGAAAAGCTTCATGTTGATCCACAGAAAATAAATCCGTATTTGCCCACATTTTTATCCTGTTTTTTCCTCAGTCTGCTCCGCAATATTTCTCCAGTACACCAAACCCCATCCAGATGAAAACCCGTTTTAAATTAAGTAGGAAAGGGTTGTCCAGGGGTCATTTCCTAGAAAAAGAGGTGCAGGAGCGCGTTTGCATAGCTCGTTTGCATTTGCCACACACCCTGACAAAGGGCAGGCATGTTTAAAATGAGTTATGCAAATGAATTTAAATCCCCCCCTCCCGGGCACCTGGAGAAGATTGGGCAGGGAATCCAGGCATGACTGCCTCCCTGCCCTCCCCAGGAGAAGATCAGGCAGGGAACCCAGGCATTTAAATCCCCCCTCCTGAGTGTCTCCACGGGTGGGGGGTGGGTGGGGCCTGGGTGCCTTCCTGCCGGAGCGCTGCTCCGGGGCGCTTCGGCAGGAAATGACTCCTGGTAGTTCCTAACAGTGTTAGGCGGCCTCACGCGTTCATAAGAACTCCTGTTAAAACAGGCCCATTTGGGGCAAAGGATTCTGGTCCAACTCCCTCCTATGAAGTAGCTTTCCATTTACGGGGAGGGGGGATTTATGGAAGTGAGCATTATGGAAAGTGATTCCCCTACTTCCAATTTCCATCGTGCATAGCCCCTTCTTCCACCACAGGACTCGACCCTTCCTTCTCCTGCACGGGCTGACAACTGACAGGAGGGTTGGAGCAGTGATGCTGGAGAATTTTTTTTTTTTTTTAATGAAGCCTCGTGTACATACTGGAACTGACAAAGGGCAGAGTTTCCAGTGGTTCTTGGCATTACCCCGGAAATGACAAAGGGTAGCTCCAGGAATTGCCAGCAACTCTATGGTATTGCTGGAAACTCTATGGTAAACCACAGAGTTTGTAGCAATCCTTAGAGCTACCCCGTTGTCGTTTCTAGTAAGAACTTCTTGTAAGTGCATGAGGCTGCACTAAAAAATAAAATTCCCCCACTGCTGCTCCAAGTGGTCATGGGCAACAGGACTTGGGGGTGGGGTGGGGGAGCCCTATCTAACAGGCCTTTCTGTCACAGAGGGCATCCAGAACCAAGACGTAGTTCCACTAAGCCTCTCTCTCCAGCAGCATCAGGAGGCAGAGCTGATCTTTTTTGAGAGAGGTCCAGATGGAAACGACTATTGTACACAAATCAGGCTGCAAGACCATTACAGCTAATGATTCACGGCTGCCTTTGGGCAACTCGTTTTTTGCACACACAAACATCCAGCGCAAACTGTTATCTCCTCAAAGCTGGGGGGGGAAACCCCCGAAACCGAATACATTTGAGGCTAACACGATGTTTCACGCTACAATGCATGACTCGTCAACAGTGTTAATTCGATACAGAACGTGGATGAAAGGTACTTTTCAAGCTGAACACAAAGCTGATCTGGAAACTCTTTACCTCCTAATCTGCAATTTTGGGATCCACTTTTCATTAACGGCCACACGGATCTGCCTTTTCCCCCTCCTCTTGTGGGGGTGGAGGAGAGGAGAGCCTGTGTGTTTTCCAATTAATATCCACTCCTACAGAACCTGAAATAGCTGCATTCGAAAGTACGAATTTTGAGCCCAGTGGCGCCTTTAAGGCCAACAATGTTTAATACTGAGCATAAGCTTTTGTGTCCATGCACGCCATCAGATACTTCACTAGATATCACATCGTGCGCATGCACACAAAAGCTAATACCTAGAATTAAACGTTGTTCATCTTCAAGGTGCCGCTGGACTCAAACTTTGTTCTGTCGCTTCAGACCAACACGGCTGCCTACCTGAATCTGCATTCAAAAGTGTGACCTAAGCTTTTAAAGAACCTGAAGACAATATCCACCATGGGAAAAAGGCCTCTGGGCCAAACAAAGGGCACCTCTCCAACGAGTTATTACTCACAAAGATATTCGCAGCAATGTAAGCAGGAGGGGGGGAGGGAGGGGGGATGCAGGCAGTGCAATTACTTGATCTTGCTGAAGACAATGTCCACGTCCGTGAGCGTCACGTTCTTGCCGTCAATCACGTGGCAGTCCTTACACAGCTTGGACCAGTTCTTCCCATGCATCTCCTTCCCCGTGGCTCTCGTGTCTCCGTGGATGGCGAACTTCTTGAAGGCCTCCTCCAGCGCGCTGAGCTCACGGCCAGCGGCCCCCTCGAAGGAGCTGTTCGAGTCACAGGACAACCGCTTGGCCAGCTTCTCTCTGGCAGGATCTGCCGGAGACTTTGGAGGGGTTTTGTTGGTGGGTTTGGCTGGCTTACTGGTATTGTCAGCCATTATGCTAAAAAAAAAAAAAAGACAGAGAAAGAAAAGTTGTTATTTTCTCTGGGGGGAAGCTGCATTTACAAATATTATTGGCTCTCTCTCGTCCTTCCATGACACAACATTTCCTGTTGTCTTATCGCTCTGTTGCACACCCAAGCCATCAGGCAGATCTGACTGGTCTCTTGTTTTCCAGTCACCATTTTTTTTACTAGTCAGTGATGTGCGCATAACTGCATATTCACACCTTCTCTCCCTCTCCCATGGGGGCTTCTCAAATTGTGTTTATAAAAACTTTCAAAGAGGGACGCCTCTGTACTTCAGCTTTTTTCTGTAGCGAGGACGGCAGTGAACTACATATCCCAGGAGGCTCATCAGCACTTGTGTACATGCTCAAAGGACAAACATTTTTTTTAAATGGCTAACAGCCCCACTCCCTGGCTGCTGTGTCTGGTCACTCTAGGACGAGGTAAAAGCACTTTGAAGAGTGCTAAGGGGGTGAGTCCGATGATATAAGACCTGTAAGACAGAGCTCTTCCGCCAGGCTTTTGAGTAGGAGCCGCCGCCCCACTATACCATCACCACCATTGCACCTAGAGGACGTTGCGAGGCCCTGAGGAAGAATTTGGGAATGGTCAGAAGATTCCGGAGAAGAACTGAGCTGAGCCATTTGGACTTATGTTTAATAATTGATTGAGCACCACTGTTTTAATGATTGGATGTTTTTATTATGTATCATATATAACTCCATCTCAGTGGATATCTCATTATAGTGCCCTCCTTCAAAGCTCAAAGGAACCCATATCGATCGACCATATGGCACCCAGCCCTTTAGTTGAGAACATTGGAAGTTGGCCAGCGGTCCTCCCTAGCCAAATAATTAATATAATAAAAGATTTGAAACGAGGAAAAGCTCCCGGCCCGGATTTTATTCCTCCTGAATTATTCCTTATGAACCCTACTTGCTGGGGTTCTTGTTTAGCTTCCATCTTTTCATTAATAAATAATTCTGGTGCTATACCAACCGAGTGGAGGCGCTCAATCATAGTTCCAATTTACAAGAAAGGCAACAGGGCTGAACCTCACAACTATCGCCCTATAAGCTTACTCTCTATTCCAGGGAAAATATTTCTGTTAAACTGTTTACCAGATGACTTAGATAAGAACCATAGATACTTTATTTGTTATAACAGCAGCTAGAATCTTATTTGCAACAACATGGTGTCAGTTAACACTGCCATGTCTTTGGAATGTGTGGGGAGTGATCCTCCTTCCTGGTACACTAATGATGTCTCCTGTCTGAGTTGCTATCCCTATATGCTTTTCTGACCTTGGGCTTCCAGCTGCTCCTGACCTGCTGGGAACAAACGGCTCACTTTTCTCCCGCTCACTTTTCTCTCGCGCGCGTGGGACCATGCACAATGCTTATGGGCTTATGCTTGTAATGGGGGGTGCTTTGAAACTACTATAACTTTGGGTGCCCTGCTGCTTTGAGCCATTCCTGACAAAAAACATTCAAGTGTCATAGTTATGAACTACCAATAAACAGCAGCAGAATATGAAGCGCTGTGTGGTGTGATCTGACTATAGAACCTGACACATAGAGGACATTGAAAATCCCAACGCTTGATGAGTTGATAATGAAGATTATGGAATGTGTTGAAATGGACAGATTGACAAATATACTAAAAGGAAAAATGGAAGAAGAATTTATGGAACCATGGAGGGTGTTCTATGACTGGTTAAAACATAAGTACTGAGAAACTAAGACTAGATGAAGAACAATAAGAAAGATGGTTAGTTGTGAAACTTTCAGGAGAAGATTTGCATGCAGAATGTCAAATTGGATTTTTTAATAGATATATAACTCTGTGTTCTTTCTTTTCCCTTCTATTCCCTTTCCCCCTTTCTATATATACACTAATAAAACTTTATTTAAAAAGAGAGAGAGAGAGAGTGTGCTAAGGGGATGAGTCTGATCACGATTCTCTGCTACAAAAAAACCCCTGGATCAATTAGAAGCTGGGCCACACTGGATCAAACTGCAGGTCTGACCACAGCCATAGGGTACCAGTGGCCAGTTCTTGGCTTTTCCAGGAAGGGGGTGCAGCTGGTGAGCCAAACAAAACTGGTTAAAGATACTCCATGCCACAGACAAGCCCTGAGCTTCTTTCAAGGGAAGTGCAGCCCTCCTGACCACAATACCGCAGCATTCTCCAGACTGGGAATCAGAGTACTGACTCTTATCCAGCCCGTGATTGCCTCCCAGAACTTGTTCAGCATCATCTCACCCTACTCAGCTGAAGAGAAAGAGATGAGGATGGTCTGCCTACTGGGGATATTTAGCTCTTAAGTCTTCACACAAACTCTTCCAACGGTTCCATGTCGATCTTTAAAAAAAAAAATCCATATCACATCTTTTCCCATGGCTCAAGACAGCCAGGGTGGCACAGTGGTTAAGAGAGTCAGACTAGTATCTGGGAGACCCAGGTTCAAATCCCCACTTGTTCCATGGAAGCTCGCTGGGCGACCTTGAGCTCTCATCCTAACCTATCTCAGCCTAACCTAATCACTCCACATTCCAATATATAGGACGGATGGACTCTATAGGACAACTGTATCTGAAGAAGTGAGCAGTGAGTCATGGACGCTCCTACCCTGCCACAAATTTTGTCAGTCTTTAGGGTGCGACTGGACTCTTCCTCTTTTCTACCTCACAGGGTTGTTGTGAGGATAAAAGAGAGGAGAGGAGAATGAGGTCAGTCACCTTGGGTCCCCATTGGGAAGAAAGGCGGGATACAAAAGTAGTAAATAACTTTACAAGCTCAGATTTACACTATACAATATGTCCCCCCCCAAAAAAATGCTGCAACCTACACCACAGCAAATAACATAGCCTTGGACTCCATGGACATGACTTTAAGAGGAGGTGGCCTGAAGGTAAACTTAGTTTCAGTAGCTGAGGTAACAAACGTTTGTGGCAGTTAGATTTTTTTTAAAAAAAACCAGCCCTGGCTAGGGAGGCGGGATGGCATTCCCGAGGGAAACAGGCCACTGAGTCAAAAAGTGGCCTCCCAGGACCCTCTTTGGGTACTGATTGGCCACGCAGACAGGAGCAGAACCATCGGAGCTACATGCCACCAATATCCAGCTCGGAACACCGTAGTCAGTGATGTCAAATGGTGCCTGATAAATCAGCAGGGCTGAACCCGCAACTGTTTCCCAGCAAGTCATCACTCAAGGCACCCAAGCTAATGTCAGCCCCCCAACAAGATTAGAAGCCAAAATGAAATGGGCCCAAATCATCTGCCTGAAGTGGTACAGTGTCAAACGCGGGCCTTGTTTGCCATGGGTCCTTAGTTCTTTTTGGTTCTGTATGTCTCTTATCCTGTTTTTTTCTGGTGGGGGGGGGAGTCTGGGAGCATGTGAGTGTGTGTCTGTGAAGCTGCTTTACTGGATGTCACGCTAGCTTGTAACTGCATTTATGCGGGGCCTCCCATCTCTGGGAAGAATGCATGCTTGACCTTGGATACCAAACACTGCTAGATACTAAGCCTGCAGGTACTGGGGGAGGGTTAACAGTGCACAGTAGATTTTGGCGGGCTGGATGTATTGGTGTGATTGGACTGGTCCTAAGGGGGAGGGCTGTTTGAACTATGTATAATACCAGAACTGGGAGTCAGTCTTAGCTTGAAACATCTTTATTTCTCAATAAACAAATCACTGCCAAGAGAGTGTTGTTGGGAATAAGTTTGTTCAAGAGTCTGACATACAGCTGCCCTCTAGCCCCAAAAAGAGGATGTCTACAGTCAGTCAACAGGTGGCAAAATCACAATGGTCCAGGGAAGCCTTGGGCACACAATCGCCTTCTTCAAGGGGGTGAGGCCCACCCCCTTCTTCAAGGGAGTCCTTAGCATCCAGCAACCCCAATCCCCATCAAGCTTTAAAATACTAAGGTGAGCAAAGGCTGAGCCACAAGGCAAGCGGCTGGAACTTTCTAAGCCACACGCCCGTCCCCACCATGATACATTCCACGAGCATACTGTGACCATCTGGTGGAAGCCCTGGAGCCCAAATCCCGCTACCTGGCATTACATTTTTTTTTCTTTTTTTGGCCCCCCGAAGGGGATTTTTTAATTGCATTTTTAATTGGACTACAAACTACAACGGAAATAGGGGAAGGGAACTACAATTAAGGAGAAAGAAAAGATAACCACTAGTAACTAAAACTCCAAGAGTAGGAGATCATTAAAACAGCTTGAATACAAAGTCTTTCCTTAAATCGCTAATATCTTTTGAACTTAGTCAGACATGCTAAAATATCTTTTAAATCTTAGATTTAACTGTTATAGAGAAATCCCAGAGCATCTCATTATTAAAAGCTATACTTTCAAAGGCACAATTCAGAGTCCTTCAGCCTTCATTTTTTCTTATCTTGTCTTTTCCTCAGTTTGTATGAACTTTTAGGGGCAGCTGCCCCTTTTTCAGAAAGAGAGTCCGGAAGACCCCGAGTCCAACTCGCCACTGGACTTGCTATCCTTCTCCTCTTTATCCACCTCCTCTGGCTCACCCAACTGGATTCTCAAAAACTCCCGTGCTTTGGAAACAGAGTCAATCTTTTCTTTTTTGTCCTGAAGTTTGAAAGTTATGCCCTCTGGAATTAACCACCTGTACACAATTGCATTTCTTTGAAGAAAAAGAATTAAATCTTTATATTTCTTTCTCCTCTGTCTTATTTCAAATGGGATATCTTTCAAGATCCTGATAGTATTGTCCCCAATTTTCAAGGGTGACCCCGCAGTTGCTCTCAGGATAGAATCCTTCACATGCCTCTTCGAGAATCTCATCACTATTTCCCCAGGCAGATTCTTCTTCTTTATATATACACAGAGTAAGACCTGTAGGCCACATCCATCTCGCTCATAAGGTATTCCGCTGTCAAATCTGTCACTGGGGCTAATGCTTCGCTCATCATTTGCTTCAGATTCTCGCCTTTGGATTCTGG